TTTTTAGGTGCTGGGAATTGAACTCAGGAACTTCAGCTTGCCAGGTAGGCACTGTGCCACTGAGCTGCATTCCTGGCCTTGCCTCTTGAAATGGTTTCAATTTTTATTTATTAATTTTTTGGGTGCTAAGAATGAAACCCGGAAACTTTTGCATGCTAGATACAAGCTCTGCCACTGAGCTATGTCCTGGCCCAGTCCTATTATAATTCTTTGACCAAAGCCTTAATGCTGAGCCAAGAGTGGTGGCACGTGCCTGTAACCCTACCACTTGGGCTGGGTGTGGTGGTGCACATCTGTAATCCTAGTACTTGAGAGGCTGAGGTAGGAGGATCACTGTGAGTTTGAGGCCAGCCTGGGCTACATAATGAATTCAAGCCCAGCCTGAACTCCCTAGCAAGACCCTGTCTCAAAAAACAAAACAAAACAAAAAAGAAACCAAACAAATAAAGAATTAAGATGTGTTATGTACATGTACCAACTCATGATGAATGTAATCACTATGTACTACAAATGCATACTAATAAAAATAAATTTAAAAATACAAAAAATAATGAATTTTACTTCATTAAAAAATTTCTGGGGCTGGAGGTGTAGCTCTGTGGTGGAGCAGTTGCCTACTATGTGCAAGGCCATGGGTTCAAACCCCAGTACTAGAACAACTTTCTGTTCATTTAAAAACTACAGCCTTTGAAAAGTGAAAACAAGTTCTATGTAGGTTAAAGATAGATATTAGTTGTAATATTCTATAACCAAGAAGGATTAGTATCCAGATTATATAGAGAACTGCTAGATAGATTAAAGGTGTTAGTTGTAATACTCTATAACCAGGAAGTATTAGTATCCAGGTTATATAGAGAAGTTGTAGAAATGAATTTAAAATAAGACAATCTAACAGACAATGGGTAAAAGATACAATTAGTCAATTCACTGATGAATCTTAAGTCACTAAATATGAAAAAGGATTAACCTTAATCATAGACATGCAAAACAACCAGGAGAAACCATTCACAACAGATTATTTTTATTATTTTTATTTTTATTTTTTTGGTATTGGGAATTGAACTCAGGACCTTGTACTTGAGAGGTAGGCACTTATGCTGCTGAGCTATATCCCCGGCCCCAGATTATTTTTATAATCCAAAAATGCCCAGGCTTGGCAAAGATATGGAGCAACAGAATTTTTATACACTTCTACCAAGAGTGTATGTTTTTCAATGACTTTGGAAAGCACTTTGGCATGATCTATAGAATGGACAATGTGTATGGACCTACTAATGTTCCCTACAGTGCAGATGGAGACAAACAGAAGAATGTTGATAGCGCTATTGTAATAATAAACAACTGGACACATTTGGTCTACTTCCCTCCCTCCCTATCTTACTTTTGATGGTACTAGAGATTGAACCCAAGGGACACTGAGCTACAGCCTCAGTCCTTTTATATTTTCATCTTGAGACAGGGTCTTGCTAAATTAATCAGGCTGCCTTTGAACTTTTGATCCTTAAGCCTGCCTTAAATATTTATTAAAAGAGATGAATAAAAATTGTGGTGCATTCTTGTATGTTATGTGCTGAATCGTGTCTCCCTAAAATTCATGTTGCAGTCTCGGTATCTCATAATCACCTCATTAAAGGCCTTGTCTCCAAATATTCTGGTACAATTTATCAAGGTCTTGTCTCAAATATTCTGAGATATTTGGAGACAAAGCCTTTAATGAGGTGATTATGGTGAAATGCAGTCATACGAGTGGGGCCTAACATAATATGATTTGTGTCCTTATAAGAAAATATTAGCACAGACAACATACAGCAAAGGGGTGACCAACTGAGGACACAGTGAAAAGGTACCCATCTGCAAGGCAAGGAAAGAAGCATTAGAGGTATTAGAAGAAAACAGACACTTTGATCTTATCCTTGTAGCCTTCAGATCTGTGAGGAAATGCATTTCTGTTGCTTAAGCCACTCAGTAGTATTTTGCTATGGCAACCCTGGAAAACTAATAGAACAATCTAGTCTATATTTATACAATTCAATGTATTACTTTACATTATATATTATACTATACTATATAACAGTAAAAATAAATTAACTACACAAATGAACATTAAAATCATGAGCAAGAAGGTAAATTGCAGTAGAATACATAACAAATAGTTTAATGTTGTTTATAAGAAGGTACTAGCATACAATGCTTATAAGGCATATACACGTACATAAATTCTAAACATCTAAAGAAATATATGCCATGGGCAAATATCAAATTCAGGGTACTGGTTTCCACCATGTGTGGTGGCACACACCTATAATCTCAGCACTCTGAAAGCCTGAGGCAAGAAAATTGCAAGTTTGAGCTCATCCTAGGCAATTTATCAAGGTCTTGTCTCAAAAATAAAAAGAAACTGGGCATGGTGGTGCACACTTATAACCCCAGCACTCAGGAGGCTGAGGCTGGAGGATCACCTCGAGTTCGCAGCCAGCATGGACTACATAGTGAGTTCAATACCAGTCTGAACTACATAGTGAGACCCTGTCTCAAAAAAAAAAAAAAAAAATTAAAAAGTAGTGTGAATGTAGCTTGGTGGGAAGGCTGTGGGTTCAACCCACAGTTAAGACCCTGCCCCCAAAACAGTGGCTCTCTAATGCCGTGAAAGAGATTACAGGGAACTTATTTCTGTAGGTAAAGTATTCCTTCTTAGAAAGAGTGGTGGGAAATGATTACATTCTTCTTTATACCTTTTTGTATGTATGAGCTAGTTTATTCAATCTTTTCAGAACAGCTGTGGACCAATTATACTGAGCTCTAATTCTTTTAAAACCGGAAGGGACCGGATGTAGTGGTGCACATCTGTGATCATGGCCCTTGGGAGGATCACTGTGAGTTTGAGGCCAATCTGAACTACATAGTGAGTTCAAAGTTAACCTGAAGTACATAGCAAGACCCCATCTCAAAAAATAAATATAGGTAAAAATAAAACCAGAAGAGGCCATAGAAAAATGGTCTATTTCAGTCCCTTTATGTTATAGATTTGGACTTCAAGACTGGAAGAACTGTAATGCTCTGGTTTCTAGAAACAGAAATAGCTATACTAGAACCTAGATTACCTGTTTATTCAATCAACCATTTGTGAGTGTGATTCTTAAAAAAGAAAGTGGTGATCACTAAGAAAAAGTTATGAGTCTTTAAGGCAATTTTATTTTCTTTTTGATAAGGTTACATGACTGGTAGAAAAATGAAATACAGGCTTTTTTTTGGATAGCAAGTTATTGGAATAAAGACTTATGTAAACCTTGGAAAAGGCTGAAGAAAGGACAGATGGTAACTATGACAGATGTTAACAACTTTAGGTGAGCTCATTAGTGGTGTAAGGACAACACTGGAAGATGAACAATTAATCACAAATCAGTCTGAATCATGATGGGAAAAACTGTCTTCTTAAAATGACCTGTATTCTTAAATGTCCTAATCATGTCTTATTCAATGTATTTACCAAGGTTTCAAGTGGAGACAAATAAAGTATGCTGATCAATATTTTGCAAAATGCAAAACTGAAAGAGATGTCTTTTGAGCCTCTAGGTGACACTAACTGTAGGTGATCAATCATTACACTTACCACATTCTTTACATGCACAGTCTGACTCCCTCATTACCCAGATTCCAAGGCCTTATTCATTTTGGAATCCTTTAGGTTAATGCTTAGCATATAGGAGGTGGTCAACTAATACTTGTTGACCTTATACCAAACTGAGAGTATCATAATTCCAAGACTCCAGGAGACAGTAAGAAGGGGCCTCTAAACTAACCAAACACTATTTAAAAGATGCAAAATAAATTCACTTGGAAATCCCTTTTTAAAAAATAGTTGCACTAAAGGAGAGGGGAAATAGTTAACAGTGGTTCAGCTAAAAAAGCTTCCCCTTCATTTCTTTGAGAGGTGGTTGCTGCCTTCAAACTCACTGTGAGCAACTGTGAAAAGGGAAACGATTTCTTCAGTTCCTTTACAGAACTTCGGCTCCCCGAGTTGTGTGGGAGGTTGTTAGAAGTAGAGCAGGGTGCAATGTGCCAACCAATGCATGTCACTGCCCTACTTTCTTTTGCATAGGTCTGTATCTATCTCTGGCAGCCATATTTTAAACAGAATGAACAGGTGCTTGTCCAGAACATAGCGGTCAAGCTGGCTGGGGACTCGACCATATAAAAAATACATAAATAAAAAAAGATCGGGGTATTTAAATCTGCAGAGAAACAAGCGAGAGGGTTAGGGCACGGAGCTGGAAGCTCTTTTCAAATAACTGAAGTGTTCGTATTGAAAATAACGGAGACTGACTTACTCTATTCTCCAAAGTACAAAGCTAAAACCAACAGAAATGCAAAGGCAAAATATCCTCTGAGTCTTAGGATTATCCTGAAAGAAATGAAACGGGGAATTGTGGGGGAGGTCGAAGACAGCCTGCCTGCGATGTTTCCTTGAGGCACTTCTATAACGCTGGGAGAGATTAGAGGACCTGGTTGTGAGCCAAATAAACTCCACCTCACTGTTCTCACCTCTCGTTTAGCATTTACTACCTATCGTGTAGTTTTTCGTGAAAATACCAGTCATATCGCCCATAGTTAGCGACAACACTAGGATTGCCGTTTCCCCTCTCCAGCCAAACTCTGGGGAGTAGGGCGAATAAATTACGTTAAGGAACAAAAGGAATGGCAAAGAAGCGCACAGTTTTTCCCAAAATCTGAAGGCTGACTATGCTGTTAGCTCTCTTCCTGGTTTTCCACCTCTAAAGACACTTCTGTAAATATCACAAAATCTTGCCAGTTGCCCAAATGTTCTCTGGCGACCTCTCTACTTCTCATTCAAATTCTGCGACTCTCTTTCTGGACGCGGATCTACTCTATGGTACAGAGCTCAGTCTTTCTAGCTCTCTAGTCCTCCAGTTCTCCCATCTATGGTTTCCGGACGTCTAAGCGGAAGCTGTCGTATAGAATGGGTTCGGAAGGCCGGAAGTTGCGCACTCATTACTCGCCCTTTCAAAATGCCGCTGAAACCTTAGGACCTGCGATTGCCACCCCTACGCCCTGGGCTCGGTCGGGGAGCGCCTCATGGAGCGGCCGTAAGGTGTGGCCCTAGGGTTCCGGCGCGGGGTGCTGGAAGGCCGGGAGCGGGCGGTGGGAAGAGTCGGGAAGGCTGCGGTTCCGTCGGTTCTGCGGGCCCGGCAGCTGGAAGCGGGCAGGAGGAGCCCGAGGCATGGGTGGCGGCGTGGGAAGGTCGAGCCTGGCGGAAGGAGGGCTGGTGGGGGGAGGGTTGTGAGACGGCCCCACGGAAGATAAAAAGGGAGTGGAGTGAGGCCAGCAGTTTACAAACCTAAAATTGGAACAAAACTTGAACAACGCTGAACTTTGGAGGAAGGGTGTGGGAGAGAGGGAGACGGGGAGAATGACATCGACGTGTCTTAAGGTTTAGTAATTTTTAGGGTCACAGACCGGTTGCCTCCCTTCAGTGCTTTTTTGAAAAAAGCTCGTTTTAGGTCCACACCCAGACCTCTTGAAACAGAATTATCTGGGGGATGCGGATCAGGAGGTAGGTATTTTAGCGCACCTCGCCCCAATGATTCTTGTATACCCTAAAATTTGAAAACCACTTTTTTGGATTTTGGGGACAGGATCCTGCCATGAAGTTCATGCTGTCCTTGAACTCTGGGCAGTCCTCGTGCCTCTGCCTTCCCAGTGCCCATGCCCTGTTTGAAAACCAGCCGTTAGTGCTGCTTCCCTTTTCCTTTATCAGCAGAGATCTCTGTGTCAGGAAGTTCCTCCCAAGGCTGGGGTTGTTACCACGTGGGACAAATACCTGTCAAAAGTACTTGAAACCTTTTGGTGTTAAGTGTTACTACATCTCAGTTAGGGTTTAGTCCCTTTCTCACACGTTCCTGATAGAAGTATTTTAGTTGAAAGGTGTTTATTTCACAATACTCTGTTTCATCATACTGGTTGAGATTGCAACTCTTGTTTAAGAAAATGCGAGATACACAAGTGCATTAAGTTAGCAGTCCAGCAGCTCCAACCTGTTCCCTCAGTCTAGCTGTTAACTGCTTTATTTTATAGCCTGACCTATTCTACCTACTGCCATTTTAAAATTACTGAGGAGTCATTTTGTATGTATTGTTCTGCACCATATGTTTTCCAAATGACATTATGATGGATTGAGTTTCATAATCTGTACATATACTTTTTCCCAGAACTTACGTAATGTCAATTTGTAGGGTTGTGCTGCAGTTTTCTTTAACCTGTTTCGTATTGGTGTGTTTTTAGGTTATTTCCTGGCTTGTTTTGCATACCACCTTTTTACCTGTGTAGCAAATCTGGTAAGAACTGAAACATCTGAACAGTAGTGCTTTGTGTTTGTTGTTGTTTTTGCTGTACTAGAGATTGAAACCAGGACCTTTGCACTAAGCTACATCCCCAGCCCTTTTTAAAGTTTTAATTTTGAGACAGAATCTTGATGAGTTGCTAATTTGTCCAGGCTGGGCTCAAACCTCTGCCTCAGCTTCTCAAGAGTGCTGGAATTACAGGTGTGTGTCACTACACCCAGCTAGTACTTTCTTTTTCAAAGAAAAAAAAATATTTTCTCATGTGTCCAATTGAGTCAAAGAATAGTTTAATCAAGGTCCCTTCAGCTGTTATGACTTGATAAGTTTTTATTTTAGTCTTAAAATTATAGTTGTCTTCAAGAGTAGAGATTTGAAGATGGAGTGTAGGACGCTGTTGGACTAAGTGTAGAATAAGGTGTTGGAGATTTAGCTCAGTGGCGCGGTGCCTGCCTGGCAAGCGCAAGGTCGTGAGTTTGATTCCCGGTACTGGAAAAAAAAAAAGGAACTAAAAAATAAGTATAGAATAAAGGCCACTCATTCATCATCACAGAGAATAAGGCTGTTCCTGCTGGCTCTGATTTCAGTCCAGTAGGGTCACATACAAAAGCCAAGTATGTTTTGTTTGGTTTTGGCTAGGGATTAAACTCGTGTGTTCTAAGTGTGCTCTCTACGACTGACCACTGAGCTATACCCCTAGTAAGTGTTTTTGGTGCCACAAATTGAACTCAGGACCTTGTGCTTGACAGGCAGGCACTGTACCGCTGCGCTATATCCCTGGGCCCCAAGTAAGTGTTTTTAATGAAGTTGTTCTGGTATTACAGCTTTCCTTAGAGAGTCAGAAAAGCCTTACTAAGGAAGTGACTTTTCACCTAGATTAAGTAAGTTAAGATTTTTTGAGGCATGGGAAAAGAAGAAAGGACAGGTGCTAAAGCAGTAGCTTGCAAATTTTAACCCCAATGAAAAATAAATTTTACATTTTAAAAAATTTTAAAAATTTTTAATTGGTACATGTTTGCAGTACATAGTAATTACATTCATCATGGGGAGTTGATACATGTACACAACACACCTTATTCTTTTTACATTCTCTTTCCCTTTCCTTCCTCCTCCTTCCACCCTCCTCCATCTCTTGATCCTCTTCCCATCTGCAGAAGATCGGTTTCTCAAATTTTACATTGTGACCTGTTAACTACAAGAGAGATAGTGGTTAAGAGTTCTTGCTTCTGCGGCCAGGGTGCTTGGACTCCATAATTTTGGGCAAGTTATGTACCTCTGTGTTAGTTCCCGCTTCTGAAAATGAGGGTGATACTACCTACAGGATCTCTGTAAGGATTAAATGAACTCTTTTATGTAATGTGCTTTAAAGAGTGCCTGACACAAAGATGTTTAACTGTAAGTGCTGGTCACTACTGTATAACGAACAGGTTCTCCGTACACAACTTTGTTAGGCACTTTTATTTCCTGGTCTGTTCTGTTCCATTACTTTTAGAGGCATATTTAGCCAGTTGGAGTGCAGTTTCCAGTTTTTTTTTTTATTTTTTATTTTTTATTTTTTTGGTTTTTCTCTGGTACCAGGAACCGAACTCACGACCTTGCGCTTGCCAGGCAGGCGCTTTTGCCGCTGAGCTAAATCCCCAGCCCCCAGTTTCCAGTTTAAAAGCTGGTGCTAAAAAACACTGGGTGGTAGAGGGGCAAGGCAGATTCACAAAACTGTGTTCCTTTAGCATGGCAAGTATTGCGTGGTGGAGACAGAGACTTGGAGAGTGCAACAGTGGAAGGGAAAGGAAGTGGGAGATAAATCAGGAAGGGCTATGTACATACCTGGTGAGGCATGATTTTCTGGAATTGGAGTGAGGAAAGAGTTTGTTTAGGCTGTTTGGTTAGGCTATGAGTTAACAGAGACATAGTGAGAGAGAAACCTTATTTAATTATCTGCACATGCACAGAAATCCTACAAAATATGAGACTCAAAGAAGGATCAGATGTTGGAGCCGTGTATATCTTGAGTAACGGGAAAGACATTAGGCTTGAGGCTTCTGGAGGGTGGTGAGAACACAAGTTACAGTGGATGTAGTACGGAGGAATTTTTTGGTGGACAGAAGTCTTATGCAAATAAAGTGTCAGGTAAGCAAAGATACTTTTCTGATAGAGGTCAGTTGGTTGGTCTTTTTTTTTTTTTTTCCCCCTGTGCTGGGGATTGAACCTATGGTCTTCATACTGAACTACCTCCCCAAACTTTCTTAGTTTTTGACAGTGGTCTTGCTAAATTGCCCAAGTTAGGCTGGAGCTTGTGATCTTTCTGCCTCAGCCTCTCTGAATGCTGGAGTTACAGGTGTGTGCAATCAGATTTCCTTCCTAGGTGTGCATTTCTTTTACATAAGGACAGTTTTTTAGAGCTACTGTGATACCTCTAGTTTCTCAGAATAACCCAGTTCAAAATTTGCAGAAGAGCTGGGCGTGGTGGTGCACACCTGTAATCCCAGCCCTCGGGAGGCTGAGGCAGGAGGATCGTTGCGAGTTTGAGACCAGCCAGGGCTACAAAGTGAGCTCAAGGCCAGCCTGAAGTGCATAGCAACACCCTGTCTCAAAAAGACAAAAAACAAAATACAACAACAAAAAAACCCAGCAGAGTTTGCCGAAGAAATGAAGGACACACAGTGAAAGCCTTTAGTCCTAGCTACTCTAGGAGGCTAAGGTGGGAGGATTCCAGGAGTCCAGGAGTTCAAGGCCAGGCTGACAAAACAGTGAGACTGGTACATCTTAGTCTCCTACACTCCTATTTTGGGATGATGTGTATTGAGCCCCATCATTACTGAGTCAGCTGTCCAGGCCCATGCAGTATACACCTTTGCTTTTCAAATGCTCTGGAAAACTAGGGGACTTTTGACTGCTTTGGAGCCGTAGTTCTGTTTCATTGTGAAATGAAGTGGTGAGATTGGCTTCTCTTTCGCTCCTGTATTGTGAAACATTACCTTCTTGAGAGAGAATCTTTTTGGGGAGGCAGTACTGGGAATTAAACTCAAGGCCTTTGAGGCCAGCCTGTTCATTCATTCATTCATTTGGTTTTTTGAGACAGGGCCTCTTTGTGGTTCAGGCTGGCCTTGGGCTCACTCTGTAGCCCAGGCTGTCCTTGAACCCACAACCATCCACCTGCCTAAACCTCCTGAGTGCTGAGATGACTTTGTGTGTCACTACACCCAGCTCAGTTTTTTATATTTAAGATGGGTCTCTCCAAATTGCCTAGGCTGGGCTTGAATATGCTGAACTCTTGTTTTAGTCTCCTAGAGTGCTGGGCTTATAGGCCTGTATCACCACGCTGGATCCTTTTGAGAGCAAACAAAGACTACTGCAGAAAGGACTTCTGTCATCTTTCAAAAGCAGGCAAATTCTTTTGAACACTTTCTACTAATCCCTAGGATTTAATGTGAGCTGGAAAGACATTTCCAGGAAGCCAAGCCTATTAGTGATAATAGTTCTTTTAATGTAATGTGACTGGGGTATTTTTCCAAGACTACTGGTTTTTTTCCAAGGTATAAGACATACAAATAGAATTTTTCTGTAATTTTAGATTTACTGTGTGGCTAAGGTAATTTAAACCTATTCAAAGCAATATTTTTCCTTTTTTTTGAAGTGTGGTACTAGGGTTTAAATCCCGGGGCTCACACATGGTAGCAGATGTTCTGCTGAGGAACCTCAACTTTTTTAAATTTTTAAAAGTTTTTAGACTAGGTCTCTATGATACTCAAATTGGTCTCTAATTTGTGATCCTTTTTGCCTCAGACTCCAGGTGTGCATGACTCTACCTGGCTTTCTCTTATCTCTAATGGTATGTCATTTTTCCTTTAAATTAATCAGTATTTCTTATCTTTAGGTTAAAAAAAAATTTTGTTTTGTTTTTTTTTTTGAGATAGGGTCTTGCTTTGTAGTGTAAAGTGACCTTGAACTTACTAGGTAGCCCAGGCTGGCCTCAAACTTGGCCATGATCTGCCTGTCCCAGCCTCTTGAGTGTTTGCATTACAATTGTGTGCTGCCATGCCCAATTTGAAATAATGGTTTTTGATTTGGGGAATTGAACATGCAGATGAAGAGAAGGGATGGTTTTGAGTGGTTTAGGAGTTAAAACTTACAGTGTTTGGTGATGAATGTGATAGTAGAGAAAAAGTGAGAAACCAGAATAACTCCTAACTTTCTCAATTGAGCAACTGAATGTATTAACTGGCAGCATAGTGGAAGAGGGTGCACTTTTAGCTTGGGCAGTTATCTGACTTATTTAATTAAACCTTTGTTTTCTTGTATTCCTCTTATATTCAAAAGGAGTGATGTAATTGTTTAATAGTTTATAAGTAAGCAGTCAGGGCAGCCTAGGAGAGTGTCAGATTAAAAAAATAGCATACATATCAAGATAAGAGCTGCGGGTCTGGGGATTTAGCTCAGTGGCAAAGCGCATGCCTGGCTAAGCGCAAGGTCGTGAGTTCAATTTCTGGTACCGGAAGAAAAACAAACAAACAAACAAAACAAAACAAAACAAAAGATAAGAGCTGCTTTAAGTAATTTAGCTAGTTAAGCTTAGAAGTGAATACCCATGAAGGTTTTTATACCAAGTGGAAAAGAGACAAAATCTTGCCTTGAATTCAAAGCTTGGCAGCTGGCTTTACTTTCACCTGTGTCCTTGATCAGTATCTTTGTTCATTCTTTCCACTATTCTCCCGTTTTAAAATCCTTCCACTTCTGTCTCTTCCTTCTCATCCTGTACCTAGCAATCAAAATTAATTTCTTCTGCTCTGAGTATCCATGGACATTAATCACCCCCATGGAATAATTTTTACCACCAGTTGTTAATAAAAGAAACCTTTACTGTGGCTTAAATTCTTTAGAACTGCCAAGAGGTCAATTCCTGTTTCTACCAAGATGCTGAACTAGTGTAACCTTTGGCTACCTTCCCCCAAATCATCCCTGGAGGAACTGTAAAGGGAATCTACTGTGAGAAAACCGAT